TTTTTTTTTGTAAAAAGTTGTGCAACTAATTCTTGAGATGTGTAGATGCTTGAAACTAGAAATTATATAAAAAAAAAAAAGAAAAAAATATATTTTATACTTAAATAAAAAAATAGATATATATTATAAAATTTTAATTATATATGTTAATATATATATATATACATTAAATGTGAATTACTTTTTACCGTTTTTTTTTTCCTTTATTTTATGGGACATCAACTAAAAATATGATTAAATTAGCACAAGATGAACAGAATCCTAATTCAGTAGTACAAAAAATAAAAATAAAACAACATATATAAAAAAAAAAAAAAAAATATTTTTTTTTGCACTTTATTCCTAATATAAAAATATGTATATTTTTTCTATTTATATAATATTTTTTTTTTTTTTTTTTTTTTTTAGAATGACAAAGATAAAAATAGTGACATTTTAATTAGTAAAAGTAAGAAAAAAAATTGAATTAATAAACCAATATTTTAATAATGTGGTAGATAAAGAATTTTTTTTTTAAACCTATTTATCTCTTAATTCACTATGTTTTTCATTTTATTGCCATTGTATTTTTTGTTTTTTTTTTTTGTTCAAATTTTTTAGAAAAAATTGAAGATCTAAAAAAAAGTATAGAAAATTTATTAAATGATGAAAGTTCTCAATCTGACTTAAATAATATAAAAAAATCACTGAAGGAATTAGAGTTATATTCATTGAATAATAATGTAATATATTTTTTTTAGTATATATTTCTTTTTATTCTTTTTTATACAGTTATTTTTTTGTAATTTTTTTTTTTTTATAGGATATAAATGATGTATATAAGAAAAACGGAATAAAAAATAATCCAGATAATAATAAGACAGTATAATGAAATAATATATATCATTCAATATATTTTATTATATATATATATATATATATATATATTTTATTATTATCTTTAATAATCACTTCATTGAGATAAATTTATTAATTTACACATTTATATAAATATTTTCTTTACTACTATTTAGATATTCAAGTATTTTATTCTTTTCTATTTTTATAGTTCGAAGAATTAAAGAATGAATTAATAAAACAAAAAAATTTAAATTCTTGCTTATCACTAAAACTTAAAAGTATTCATATTAAATTAAATAATCTTTATCTAAAAAAAAATGAACTTGAAAAAAATATTAATAATAAAATACAAGATATAGAACAGCAATTTCTGATTTTAAGCAAAGAAATTAATAGAACACCAGATCAAGTAATGATGTAACACAAAAGTTTTAAACATATTTTTAAGTCATTTGTATCCTTTTAGTTTCTTTTTTTTTTTTTTTTTTTTTCTTAAATAAATGAAAAATGTGATATCTTTATTTTTTAGGAAAAATCTAAAAACCAAAAAAAAGATAGCAATACAAATTTAGAAGACAATGAAGGAATAGTATTACTGGATGAAGTTGGTGATATTTTAAGTCCCGATAGTATAAATAATAAAAATGGTGTAAACAGAATTATTAATTTAAAAAATGAAGAAATTGAAAACTTAAAAAATTTGTTGATTGAATATGAAAAAAATTTAGAAGTATATAAAGTAGGAAAAATAAAAATTGATTTTGAATTAAAATCTTGCAAAAAAAAATTAAATGAGGAAATAGAAAAAAATAATGATTACATGAACAAAATAAAATCTTATGAAACGCATATAAATATTTTTAAAAGTGAAAATATAAAAATTATAGAAGAGTTAAATTATTTAAAAGCAGATTTAGATAAATCTAGGAATGAAAACGATAAAATTCATCTGAAAAATAAAATATTGAGTGATGAAAAAAATAGTTTAAGTGAGATAAATGATGATTTAAAAAAGGAAATAAAAAATATGAAGTCAATTTTAAATGATTCAAAAAATAAAGAACATATTTTTAGTAGTTTTATAGAAAAAATTAGTAATATTATATTATATTTAAAAAATAATGATGAGTATAACTTTCTTAATGATCATTTTAATAAACTAGATTTCGACAATGAACAAATAATTGTACAAACGGAATTATATATAGATATCATATCTTCATCGATAAAACGATTAATCAATATAAAAAAAGGATTTCAAGTAATACAATAAAATAAATTTACATATATTCTATTATTAATTTTTTAATATATAAATACGTTTTATGAACATTACTTTTATATCCTATTCATATTGTGCTATTTTATATTATGTTATAACCGTATTTAATTATTATGTTTTTTTTTTTTTTTTTTTTTTAATAGGAAAAAAATAATGAATTAGAAACAATTAAGAATGAACTTAGCTCATTAAAAAATGAATATTTGAAAAAAAGTAAAAATTATGAAGAAATTAAATTAAAAATGGATCATTTAAAATTTATCGAACAGAACAATTTAAAGATAAATAATGAAAAAGAAAATTATGAAAAGATTCTGAACGAATTAAGGGAAAAATTAGATAAGGAAGAAAAAGAAAAATTAGAATTAAGAGAAAAAGACAATATCAATTTATATAAAATTAAAGATTTCGAAAAAAAAGAAATCAATTTACTAAATGAAATTAATAAATTAAAAAATTTTATAGATAAAAAGAGAATGGATTTTGAAAAAGATAGTCAAATTAATATTATAAAATTTGAAGATTTGAAAAACAAAAATAAAGAGTTATTAAAAAATTTAAGTGAAATAAATAATGAAAAAGAAAATTGTGAAAAAATTATGAACGAATTAAGGGAAAAATTAGATAAGGAAGAAAAAGAAAAATTAGAATTAAGAGAAAAAGACAATTTCAATTTATATAAAATTAAAAATTTTCAAAAAAAAGAAGTCAATTTACTCAATGAAATGAATAAATTAAAAAATTTTATACAAGAAAATAAAACAAATTATGAAAAAGCAAATGAGATCAATAAAAAGAAATTAGAAGGTATGAAAAAAAAGAATAGAGAATTAATAAAAAATTTAAGTGAAATAAGTAATGAATTAAAAAAATGTGTTAATGAAGTTCAAAATGTTAGTGAAAACATGAAAACGGTAGAAAAAGAAAAAGAAAGTGTTACATGTGAGTTAAATACATTAAAGATAAAGAATGAGAAGTTAAAAAATGAATTAGAAAAAATAGAAAAAAAAAATAAATTATTTAAATTAAAAGCTTATGAATCTAACAGCAACATTTCCGATCTAAATAACAAATTAAATGACATAAATATTAAATATGATAAAGTTGTAGAAAACTTTAACAATACAAAAAAACAATATAAAGAAGAACTAAAAAAAAAAATTGATCATATAGTGGTACTAAAAAAAAATTCAGATTATTTAAAAAAGGAATTAGAAAAAAAAAATGAAGAAATAAAATCAAATTTAGAAAAAATAAAAAACATTGAATTAAAATTATCTTTATATACAGAAAAAAATGAAAAACTAAATGAAGAAATTAAAAAGCGTAATTCCTTTATAAAAGATAAAGATAAGAAAATAAACCTTTTAACAAACATAGAAAATGATTTATTAAAAAAAGAAGAAATTAATAATAGAATATTGATAGAAAAAAAAAATACGATAAAAAGTAATGTAGTAGAGTTACAATTTTTAAAAGAAGAAAATAACAAATTAAATGATATAATAAAAAAATTAAAAAGTCAATTAATAAAAGGAGAACTTGATAGTAGAACAATTAATAAAGAAATAGAAATTTACAAAAATGAAAAAAATTATATATTATTAAATTTAGAGAATAAATTGTCAGAAAAAGAAAAGTGTATCAAAAGTATGAAGGAAGAATTAATAAATATACAAAAAAAACTAGATGAAAAGCTAGATACAAAATATGAACTGAAAATATTAAATGATAAAGTAGGAGAATTATCAAAAATAAACAATAATTATGAAATGAAAATTGCTGATTTAAATAATGAATTAGATAGAATTAATAAAAGATTAAAAGATGAAGAATTTTTAAAAGAAGAAGAAAAAAGAAAAAATATAAATATAACATATATGTTAAAGGAGTATGAGTTGAAGATGAAAGAAAAGGAAAATATGATAGAATCATTAAAAAAAAGTGAAAAAAACATGGAAGAGCTAAAACATGAAGAAAAGTTTGAAAACGAAAAAAGATTAAGAAACAAATATGAAGAAGAAAAAAAAAACATAATAGAAGAATATAATAGAAAAATGCAACAAGAAAAAGAAAAATATGAAGAAAAAATAAATTCAACAAATGAAAAGTATAAAAATATGATTGAAGAGATACAAGAAGAAAATAAAAAAGAAATAAAAAAAATGCAAAATATGTATGACATTAATATTCAATCTCAGTTATTAATAAAAGAAAATGAGAAGCATATGCAAAATAAAATTGATGAATATAGTAAATTATTAAAAGAAAAAGACGAAGAAATCAAAACAATTATTCAGGAATTCGATGAAAAAATGCAGAACCAAAATAAAGAAATGGAAAACTTAATAAACGAATGTGAAGATAAATTAAAAAAAGCCAGAATAAATAAGAGGTCAAGTAGTAATAATAGTAGCACATTCATCACTAATGAAAATTTAAAGGAAAAAGAAAAAAAAATAGAAGAACTATTAAATGAATTATCAATAAGTAAACAGGAGATAGACAAATTAGTAGAAAAAAATAATATCTTAGAAGAATCCAACTTAAAATTATCAAATGATACTAATAATTTAACAGAAGAGAATAAAAAATTAAAAGAGCAATTAGAAAGTGCCTCATTAAGTATTCAGCAAATGGAATTAAATAAAGATTTACAAAATGAAAATCATTTAAAGGAAGAACTAAGCATACCAAAAGAAGAAAACAAAAAAATAAAAAATATAGAAATGATACAAAATACAGAAGTAGATAATGAAACAGAGAATATAAAAAAGAAAAAAAAGAAGAAAAAAGATAAGCATATTATTAAAGATGAAGAAAATGAAACATTAAAATTATCATTAGATATATTAAAAGAAGAATATAATTTACAAATTGAAGAATTAAATAATACAAAAAGAAATTACTTGGAATATTTAAAATCCTTAAAAAGCAAATTAGATGAAATTATAGATAGAATAAAAACAAAGGATGATGCATTATTAAATGATACTTTTAACAAAATTAATTTAGCTATCTCTTCATGGAATATATTTAATGAAGAAAAGAAAGTTGAAGAAAATGAAATTATAGAAAAGGAAGAATCTTCTAATAATGAAGATTTTGAAACATTTAAAAATGAAATTACTGAAAAAGTTGAATTAATTCAAAAATTAATTGGATAGTTTGTTTTATTATATATTTAAACACATTTTTTTTTAATTTTAATTTTTAATTTTTTTAAATTAATTTATTTTTGATTAATGTTTAATAATTTGTTTATATACTTTTTATTTTTAAAATTATGAATTTCATTTAATCAGATCTTATTATTGTTTGATTATAATTACGTTATTAATATATAATAATCTTTATATATCTTTAATATCCTTTGTTTTTTTTTTTTTTTTTTTTTTTTTTTTTTTTTTTTTTTTTTTTTTTTTTTTTTTAAAATTAATAGTTTATGGCTTTTTTTTTTTTTTTATGAACAGATCATGTTTTTTTATATATATTTTTAATAATTTTTTTTTATATAGTTTTTTAATTATTTGTTAATCATTCTCTTTTTTTTTTTTTTAAAATTTGAAATTAAAATATGTTGAAATATGATTAAGTATTGTTTAAATATTTGCATAATTGTACTTTAATCAAAAAAAATTAAAATTAAAATAATGCAATAAAACAGAATAAGACAAAAACAAAAATAAAATAAAATAAAATAAAATAATGAAAATGTAATTTATAAGAATTTTTTATTATTGTTGCTTAATAATGAAAAAAAAAAAAAAATTTTATAAACATTAGTATAACAATTACCTATTCAAAAAAATTTTATTTTTATTATTGATGATTTATAATGTATAATATGAATATATGTAAATCTGAAAAATATTACTTTATATAAATTCTGAAAACAATGGAAATGTGTAATAATAAAAATTATTAATTTGATATTTTTTATGAATATCTTTTAAATCATTTTTATAATTATCTTTTTTATTTTTGCTACAATGATAAATATCTTCATAAATGGATTTTAACTCTAAATTGTATGCTGCACATAATCGTAGATTATGAGATAGAAACATATAGGAACATTTTAAAAGAAAATCTAACAAAAATATAGCGGCAATAGCATAATATATATATTTGATATAATCATATAGAACATTACTCGATTTATAATGTACATAAAGAAACAATAATAAGGTAAATCTTGTAAAAAAGGTTATAATTATATGTAAGAAATGGTTATTTCTTAAATTATAATTTAATCGCAAATTTTTTATAAAATTATTTCCCATTAACAATGTAGATAAAGAACATAAACCATGCATGTTTTTTGTATTTATGTATATTAAAAGTGATGCTATAGATATAAAACCTTTTTCATCTCCTTTAAATCCATTTTTTGAATATAACTCTTTATTAAATAAATTGAATTCATCATTTAAATAATTTGAGTTTTGTGATATATTATTGTTGTATTCCTTAATATTTAGAAAATTAGGCAATTTGCTTTTATTTTTTGCCATATTAAACGGTCTAATTATATATCCTATAAATTGTCTTCCAGATAAGGAGCAGAGAAAAATGTAAATGTTTCTTATTATTTTAAATGAAGGTATTACTGTAAAAATTAAAAAAAAATAAGGTGCATATTTCTCTGCTTGGTTTAAATTTTTCAAAAATATCTCAAATACATCATTATAAACAAGTAACAATAAAAATAAAAAATCTGAAAAGCATTTAACAAAGATAAAGAAAGTTAGAAATAAAACTTCAATTAAAGAAGCTAAAAAAATAAAAGAAAAAAATGATATAATAGAATTTCCTAATATAATAGAAAGAGAAACAATAAAAATTATATTATGATGTTCAAATAATTTAAAGTACTTTTTAGATTCAACTAATATATATTTCAAGTCATTTACTCCTACTTTTTTATAAAAAATATAAAAAACAATCGACATGGCTATTTTTCCTAAACAATATATTATATATGGTATCATTAAACGTAATTGATTTAAATATGAAATTTTTAAAGTGTCATCTAAATAAGATCTAAATCTTTCATTATTAGAGACATTAGTATACATTAATTTTTTCATAATTAATTTTGTTTTTATTCTATTTTTATTTATTTTTCTATAATTTAATATGTCGTCTTCAATAATAAAATCAAAATATACATTTAGACAAGATGGAATTTTCTTATAATAATCACCTTCTAAGATATTGTGATTTTTATGCTTAGTATTTAAGCATGTAATATTTTTCGTATCATTAATAACTGTATCATTTTTTAATGAGTTGATAGATTTTATATCAAAAGAATAATTTAAGATATCATTAAAATCTAACAAAGATTTTTTATGAATTAATGGTATATTTGCAAAATTAGATTTATTAACACTCTTTCTATTATAAGGACTATAATTATCTTCGTCTGATTTTCCTATTTTATCTTTATATGTATAATTGGGGTAATCTATTATTTTTCTTAATTTTTCAAATATTAAATTACAATATTTGATTTTAATACATTTTATAGGAATAAAACAAATATTTTTAATTAAAAGAGGTTGAAAGTGGATATTGGAAAAAAAAAAAGTTAAAAAGTAAAATCTTAATATCATAAATGGTATATCAATCAAAATGATACCTATTACAGATGCGTGTTTTTTACAAAAATAAATGTCTCCCAAATCTAGATTTTTATTATTCTTTTCTCTAACTATTGAGATTATGGGAAACGAATATGCATTTAAATACAATGAGAAGGATATTAATACCCCACCACATATTTTAATCCAAAAATTTGTATTTTTAATAACATAAGATAATTTTAAAAGAGTAAATAATAACTCAAATATATCGAATAAATCAATAACTACATGCAAAATTAAATCATTATGAAATATCTTTTCATTAGATATAGTAATTTCATTTGGATACAACTGCTTATATGAATTAATTGATAATGCAGTATATATAAGAATACTCAAGCTTAATAATAAAAATATAATTGATTTGTTATAATAATCCTTATTCATATCTTCTAAAACTACTTCATCTTTAAATGCAAAAAAATACATAAATATCACTTTAATAGATATAGAATAAACGTATAATAACCAACATGTTCCACCCTTTACAGCCCCAAAACTTTGTGAATAATTGAAACAAAAATGAATAAAGATATATATATCAAATATACTTAATAATAATATAAGTTTATTATAATCAAATAAAATATAATATAATCCTAATTGCTGTATTATAAAGGTAATCAAATTGAAAAAAAAAGATATCCTCCAGCTATTTAAAATTTTATGAATCATTTTAAAATAAAAAGAAAACAAGACTTCTTTTTGACAATGTAAATGTAGTTAGCAAAAGTAAAAAAACAAAAAAACATAAAATACGTAAAATAAAAAATAAAACACAAGTGAAACAAAAAGAACAAGAGTAAACTAGAAAAAAAAAAAAAAAAAAAAAATCAAAAAATCAAAAAATCAAAAAATACAATAAAAAATAAAATAATATCTTCAGTAATATATTTCTAATTTTTAAAAAAAATAAAAATATTATAAATTTCCAGAACAAATACAGAACAATCTTTTTAGTAAATTATACAAATATAAAAAAAAAAAAAAAAAAAAAAAAAAAAAGTAAAAAGCGCTTAATAATAAAAATATTTTATATCTAAAAAAAATAAAAATTATATAAAATATTTTTATAAAATATATATAATAAAATAAAGAATTATAAAATATATTCCACGAAATTTGTATTTTAATTAAAAAAATTGAATAATCAATTTTTCTAATCTAATATTTATAGGAAATAATCTTTATATATATAATCAATAATATAAATATCAATACTATATTATGGTAAAATGACAACTTAAGAGAGAAAAAAAAATAGTTTAGTAATTCTTATCATTTAATTATTATTTAATTTTTACGAAAAAATCATAAAAGACAAAAATTTAAAGAGAAACATGAATACACTTAAAACAAAAGAAATTCCAAAAGATTATCAATTATTAATTTTTATTAAATTAATATTAAGAAATTACTTATTTTTTAAATATATATATATATATATATATTTTTTTTTTGAGATATTTTATCTAAATTATATTTTCTTAATAATTCCTTTTTCTTATAAATAACGTCTTTTTATGTGTGCACTTTATGATATTAACTTTCTTTTTTTTCTCCTAATAAAAAAAAAAAAAAAAAAAAAAAACGGGGGATTTCAGAATACACTGAAACCTAAAAATTATATATTTAAAAAAAATGTAGATTAATATATTAGAATAAATTTCATAATATTAAAAAGAATTCCATTATAATTTATCTAAAAAAATTTTAAAATAAAATATTTTAAATTATCATAGATATTTTGCAATCAGTATTTTTTCTGTATTATAATTTAAAGTATTAATGATTCTTCATATAAAAAAAAAAAAAAAAAAATGACAAATTATAAATGATACCTTAATAAATTAAAATTATTTATGAAATAATAATTTTTTTAAAGTATTTAATATATTTAAATAACAAATAAAAATGTCTATATTTTTTTTTTTTTTTTTTTTTTGTTAAACCATTTGAGAATAAGTCTTTGCTAATTTTTTTGTATTCATTAATAGTTTGAAATATTTCAAAAATTTAAATGAATGCAATAAAAAAAAAAAAAAAAAATGAAAGAATTGAATAATAATAATAATTTAGAAAATAAAGATGAAATTATAAAGTTAAAAAGGGAAAAATTGAAACCAATTCAAGTTAGAAGAAGCATAAAAGACATTTTAATTGATAAAAACCCTTGTGATTATATTTATAATTACACTGGAAGAAATATAAGTATATTTCCAAAAGATTTATTAAGTAATAATGAAAATATAAAAGATTCTTTTAATGAATCTGAAAATGATAAAAATAATTCAGAGAAAGAAGTAATAAGTACCATATCAATAAATGAACATGAACAAAAATTATTAGAAGAATTAAAAGAATTACTAAAAAAGGATTTAAGTAATGAAATGAAAGATAATATAAAATCACTTTTTATTGAAGTTCAAGAATTTTATTTGGAAATTAAAAATGACTTAAAAATTAATTATCCATCAACTGAAGATCTATTAAAATTATATTCTACAAATGATTGTAGTGATAAAAGTAAAAATGCAATATGGAAAAGCTTTTGTTTTTATAAATTACTAAGTGATCAATTAAACGATTTGCATATATCTACTATTTCTTCTTATAGATTGCAATGCTTAAAAACAATTTACAGATGGTATAATAAAAATAAAAGAATATTATTTAATTGTAAAAATGACAAAAAGAAAATTAATTTGTTTGATGAGGAAATTAATAAAAATGATTCCTTAAATGGAAATTTTGATAATACATATGCTTCAACTCTAAATGAAAAAACAAACTTACAAAACAAAAATAATGATTCAATAGAAATTAAAGAAAATGACGAAAATAACGAAAATAACGAAAATAATGAAGAAAAAAAAAAAGACATTGAAGAAGACCCTAATGAAATAAAAGATAGTAAAAGTAAAAATCAAAAAGAGTACACAAAAGAATTTTCAGAAGATTTTGATAAATTGTTGAAGGAACATATACAAATAACAAATGAACAAAATGAAAAATATGAAGATATAGAATTGAATAAAAAAAATGAAATAACAGATAATGAATCAAATAATATTTTAAATAATTATATATATCCATATAATACTATAATTAGCAAAATAGAATGTGAACAGAAAAAAGAGAGCATATTAAAAAATAATGCTCATATTGAAAACAACAATAAAAGTAATGAAGAAAAAAGAGAAGAAGATTATGAACATAAAAGTAGAGAAAATAATACTTATGAAGAATATGAATGTAAAAATTTCGAAAAGTTAAATAGTGATAAATTTAATTTTAATTCAACACTTTTGGGAGATGAAAAGGATGATTTTTATCAAATACCAATAGATACTAAAAAAATAAAAGAACTAGAGGAAGAAATTAAAAAGCAAAAATTATTAATTAAAAAAAAAGAAATAGAAATTATTAATTCTCCTATAGGAATAAAATTTAAAGATATTTTTGGAAACTTTCAAGATATTGACATTAATAACTGAAATAAAAAAAAAAATTAAAAAAAAAAAAATTTATATTTAAAATATAGACTGAAAACATTTTTATATATAGTTATGGTAAATAATAAAAAATTTCTAAAATATTTTATTTTTTTTTTAATTTCTTAAACCTATATATATATATAATATATTATATTTTTAATATTCTTTTTTCAAGTGATTTTATAGAAAAAAATTTTTAAAAATATTATAAAATTATGCTTTTTTTTTTTCTTAAATTTATGAAATATTTAATAAAAATAAAATGTGAAATTAAAAGGATAAAACTTTAGGAAAAATTTTAAAAATATTTATATATTTATACTATATCTTTTTTTTTAATTTTTTCTAAAGAATAATTAAAAAAAATTCAAGCAGTTATCAAAAAGAATTAAATGATCATAGGAATACTGTTCATACTTATTTTCATAATTCAAGGGATAATTAAATTCTTTTCCTTCATATTTAATGAAAAAAAAAAAAAAAAAAAAAATATATTTTTATATGCACTAATTTCATTTATTTAGATTTTTATTTGATCATATTTACAATATATATTATTTATATATTATTTATTATTTTTATTTTTTTTTTTTTTTTTTTTTTTTTTTTTTCCTTTTTNAAAAAAAAAAAAAAAAAAAAAATATATTTTTATATGCACTAATTTCATTTATTTAGATTTTTATTTGATCATATTTACAATATATATTATTTATATATTATTTATTATTTTTATTTTTTTTTTTTTTTTTTTTTTTTTTTCTCTTTCTCTACCTTTGTATAATTCTAAAAAAATAACTTGAGTGAAGGTGTAATCCATTGCAATATTTCTATTTATCTTCGATAAAATCAAATAAAGAATAGACATAGATAAATTAATTAAGAAAATTTTAAAAACAAAAGAAAAATTTATATTATTATTCCTAAATACTAAAAAAAAACATGAGAAATATAAAATCATTTTAAATGCTACTTCCTTAATATGACAAAAATATAAAAAGTTATCTAATCTTGTATTTTTTATAAAATTATTTCCTATAATAACTTTATTTAATATTAAGGGTCCTTTCATATATTTAATTAGTTTAACAATTAATGATGATATAACAGATATAGAAATGGGAATTTCTTCATTTTCATTATTTATACTTCCTTTATTTATTTTTTTTTTTATATTTATTCTATATTTATATGTAGTATATTTTCTCCCAAGTAACATATATATAAGTATATATGTATCACCTAAAAATAAATATACCTTAAAAAAAAAAAATAATTTAAATTTTTTTTAATATATAAATAAAAAATAAAGGATATATATATTTTACTCTAGATGTTTTATTTACTTATTTTTTTTTTTTTTTTCTTTTTTTTGTTCAATATTACTAAATAAGCGAAGACAAAAAGAATCATAATAATATTTTTGTTTTTATTAAAATAGATAGAGATATCATGAGTAGGTGTATATTGCGATATAATAATTAAAGTAAATAAATAAGATAATAAATTAAAGAAATATAATATAGACATAAAAATAGCATCAAAAGTGGAACATAATATTAAATAAATGAAAAAAACAGAAATGCAATAAGAGGAAATAATAATAAGACTAATATTAAGAATTAAACAAGATCTAATAACACTAAAATTATAAAGAAAAGTTATTTCATATAGATTTTTTTTAAATTCGTCATCAAAATTAAAAGTATATATGATTACAACAATAGTAATTTTCACAGCTATTAATAAAAAAAAAAAAAGAAATATGATAAAACACCTCGTAGGATATTTCTCAATATTTTCAACATAGCAAGATATATATCTTTTAAAATTTATTCCATTATACCTTAGATATAATAAATAAAAATAACCTTTTATTTTCCTATAATTTAGATTAGTAATTCTATTATAATTGTTATTGTTTATTTCATTTAATATTATTGTATCATTGGAAGAATAGCTTTTAGTAAAATTTGTGTTAACGTAACTTTTTTTTAAATAATAATTACTGTGACTTTGAAAAAAAGAATTTATATTTTCACTTACATTTTTGTGATTACATGTTTCTACTATTCCTTCTTTTTTTTTTTTTTTTTTTTTTTTTTCTTTCTTTTTCTAGAATGGTAATACTTTGATTTTCTGAATATTCTTGATCCATGAATTATAATAAAGCAAACATTTTTAATTATAAAAAAGATTGAAGCTAAAATAAATTAAAAAAAATAACAGATATATAATTATGTTGTAAATATATGTATGTAGATCAAATAAATAATTTTTTTCTTAATTTTTTTCTTTATTTATTTCTTAATTTTTTTCTTTATTTATTTCTTTATTTTTTTCTTTATTTTTTTCTTAATTTTTTTTTTTTATTTTTTTCTTTTCTTTTTTTCTTTTCTTTTTTACATGTATTGCTTGAAAAAACAAAATATATGAATAATCTAGCTGAAAAGAAAGATATATCAGTAAATATAAAACTATATATACTTATATATTTTAGGCATGACATAGCATCTCCTGCTATTTTAGAATGAGATTTTTGTTTTTTCTTAAAATGGAAATTATATTTATTGTTATATTTTTTTTTGTCATAATAAATATTGTTTTGATCAATGTAATATTCTTCATTATTATATTTGTTTGAATTATCATTCAAAAGTAACATATCAAAACGATTCCTTTCATTTTGTTGTTTCTTTTTTTGACTAAGAAAATGTGATATAGTGTTTTTGTTATTTCTATTTTTCAATTTTTCGTTTGTATCTTCATTTCCTCTTTTTGTTGTTTTGTAAGAGTAGTTAGGTAAAGAGTAAGCGTGAAGTGATATATTTAAAGCAATTAAAACTCCGAATATAATGAAAATAACTTCATTTGTATTTAAAGTAAAAGTATAAAAATTTACTAATATATTTTTATGTATAGAAGAATCTAAAAATAATTTATTTTCTTTAAATAAAGAGATTTCTTCTTTTAATCTAAAGTAATACAACAAAAAATAAAAATACGAAGAAAAAAAAAATTCAGAAATATCTATTAAATCTATAGATACATGAGTAATAATTATAAAAAATAAAATATTTTCTGTGCTAATAGTATGGATATTTAATAAATTATAATGACCTATATAACATAAAAGTAAATAAACTACTATAGTAATTAATATAGCTATTGTAACTATTACAATTTTCTGTGAGCATTTATCATAATAATCTGAAGAAATATCTTCTAGTTTTTCATTAATTATATATTTTGGAAATGATATAAAAAATATTATAGTTATTTTTGTTACAATACTATATATATATATAATATACATTTGTATATTATTAATTGATCTTATAAGAAAATAAATTAACACAATAATTAAAATAATGTCTATTACTAATAAAAGTATTTTATTTATCATAATGTTCCATGAAAATAATATTTGTTGAATTATTATTACAATAATTAATAAAAATTTTAAAAAAGAAATTACATATTGCATTTTTATAAAAAAAAAAAAAAAAAGAAAAAAAAAATATTTTGCAATTTATTTTGTTTTTATATTTATAAATTATTATTATAACAATTAGAAAAACTATTAAAACTATTAAAACATAGACTATACATTTTACTCATATAAAAAGTTCAAATTAAATTTTTTATTTCTTTTACATTTTTATTTATATATTATATTTCATTATTACAACTTTATAGAAGCCTAAATGTATACTAATAATGAATTTACATTATAATATTAAAAAAAATATTCATCTATCTATATATATATATATACATATATATATTTAATAAAAATTAAGTAATTATTTTATTGAATTTTTTTTTTTTTATTTTAATATCCGTTCTACATTTTCAATTAAACATAATTTCTGAATTTTTTAATTTTTTTAATTTTTTTTTTTTTTTTTTTATCTCTTTCTTTCTATATTTTATGAAATATATTTATAATCAACAAATTGCACAACAGAGAATTAAAAGTTAGAAAAAAGATATATTTTTATTTCAATAACATATGTTGTTGTACTTTTTTTTTTTTTTTTTTTTTTAAAATAAAAAAAGCTTAAATTTCATTTTTTGTTTCCTTAAATGCATATCTTTTCATTTATTATGTTTGTCTATTTTTTTTTTTTTTTTTTTTCTTTATATGACTTCATATTATGCATATATATTTATTTATTTAAATATGTATTTTTTTTTATATATATATGGACCTTTTAATTTTTTGTTATTTATATTTATCTATATAAATATTAAGAAAACAAACATTTTTATTTATTTTTATTTTTTCTTTTCTTTCTTTTAATATTCAGGTATATTAATATATTTATTTTATAAAAAGAAAATTAAAGCAACGTATTATTTCAATAGTAATTTTTTCTGTTAGGCATAATTATAAAAATATTTTGCTATTTTAATATTAGTAAAAAATGAAATAATATATTATTTCTTTTTTTACAAATAGTAATAAAACTTTGTAAAAATGAAAAACTAAAAAGACGGAAAAGTGATTTAATTAATTTAAATAGAATAAATAATTGTATGAAAGAAATAAAGATAAAATAGTAATTAGAAAAGTATTTTAAAGTTATAAAGAAAAAAGAGGAATTAAATATGGTTTTATAAAAATTTTAGAACACCTTTTTATAAGATTGTATTAATTTTTTTTAAATATATTTGTTATTTTTTTTATTCTCCTTTTAAAATTTTAATAATACTTCATAATAGTTTTTTTTCATTTATTTTTCTTTTTTTGTACTTTATAAATGTTTTTATAGATATTTATTAAACTTTTTTTTTAAAAGTATTTATATCTTTTATATTTTATCTTTAATAATATTTCACTATATTCTTAATAATTTTTCTTATTCTATTTTCATTTTAATTTTTGATATGGAAGAAATTCCTAAAAAAATTTAAATCTATATAAAGGCCCCTTTAAATAAAAAAAAAAAAAAAAATAAATATATATAGGATAATACTAATTTTTATCAAAATAATAAAGTTTTATATATATCATTTATAGTTTAAAATAGATATATTTCATAAAAAAAAATATAACATTAATACTGTTAATAAAAATGAAAGGATAACGAAAAACATAATTTACTAAAAAATATATTGTATTAATAATAAATATTGTGATCAATCAAAAATATATAATTTTTTAGTATTATTTTTTTTTTTATCTTTATCATAATAAGAAATAACGAAGTATAATAAAAATATTTACGTAGTAACATAAATATGTACACTTTTTACAAATATATGATATTTAAATATAACATATTAAAAAATTATAATTTATATATAGAAGATATATATAAATAAAAACATTTATAATGTTCCTTTGTTTTTTTTTTTGATATAATATTTCTGAAAAAAAAAAAATTAGTAGAAAATAAATGTGTATATATTATTTAAAATTTATGTTCTATATATATATATATATACGTTTATAACTATTTTTTTAAATTACATATATCTATTTTTTTTTTTTTTTTTTTTTTTTCAAATTTTTATTAAAATATATATTTTTCTTTAAAATATGACTGTATTTTGAAAAAGATATAATTTTTTTTTTTTTTTTTTTTAAAAAATTTTAGTAGAAAGTTTTAAAAATATATAAAATAAAGATAAAGAATTTTATTTTAATTAAAATATATCATTTCCATATTTTTTAATTAAAACTTTTATATATACAATACAATATATATAAAAGATATATATATGTGTATAAAAAAATAATTATTTATAATATTAATTTTTTAAATTTCTATTATAAAAAATTGAAGTGTAAGATCAAAAAGTTTGATTTTTTTTTTTTTTTTTTTTTTATAAATAATATAAAAAGTACAAATTTAAAAAGATAAAAAAGTAAATATTTTAAAAGTATATGTATAAAATATTTTTTTTTTTTTTTTTTTATGTTTTCTTAAAGATTATATATTTTTAATATACTTTTTTAGTAAAAATGTATCAACTAAATAAGCATCTAAGAAGAAACGTTAATAGTATTTTGAAAAAAAAAGAGTTATGGAATAGTTACTTTTTAAAATACTCAACAAAAATAAGCCCAATAGAGATATCAAAAATTTTAGAAAAAAAGTTTGAAAATTTTGATTTTAAAACTTCATCAAATGAAGTTGGATATGTTTTAAGTGTAGGAGATGGAATATGTCGTGCATTTGGGTTGAATAATGTGAAATCTTCTGAATTATTGGAAATACATAATGAAGAAGATAAAGGAAATATAACATATGGTATGGCTACAAATTTAGAATATGATAATGTTGGTATTGTTATATTTGGTAATGATAGAAATATAAAAGAAGGAGATATAATAAAAAGAACAAATCGAATTATTGATGTTAATGTAGGGTATGAATTATTAGGAAGAGTAGTAGATGCATTGGGTAATGAAATAGATGGAGAAAAAAAGATTATAACAAAAGAAAGAAGAAAAATAGAAATAAAGGCACCTGGTATAATAGCAAGAAAGAGTGTTAATGAATCTATTATTACTGGTATTAAGTGTATTGATAGTTTAGTTCCAATAGGAAGAGGACAGAGAGAATTAATAATAGGAGATAGACAAACAGGAAAAACAGCTATAGCTATTGATACTATCATACATCAAAAAAATATAAATGATCAAGTAAGTGATAATGAAAAAGTATATTGTGTATATGTAGCTATAGGACAAAAAAAAAGTAATATAGCTAAATTGGTTAATCTTTTAAAAAAATATGATGCATTAAAATATACCATTATTGTTAACTCAAGTGCTTCTGATGCATCTCCTCTTCAATTTTTAGCTCCTTATACTGGTTGTGCTATGGCTGAATTTTTTAGAGATAATGGTAAACATGCTTTAATTATTTTTGATGATTTAAGTAAACAGGCAGTTGCATATAGACAATTATCTTTACTTTTAAGACGTCCTCCTGGTAGAGAGGCATATCCAGGAGATATTTTTTATATACATTCAAAATTACTTGAAAGATCATCCAAATTAAATGATAGCTTAAAAGGAGGTAGTTTGACTGCTTTACCAATTATAGAAACTTTAAATAATGATGTATCTGCTTACATTCCTACTAATGTCATTTCAATTACAGATGGACAAATATTTTTAGAAAGTGAATTATTTTATAAAGGAATTATACCAGCTATCAATGTAGGATTAAGTGTATCAAGAATTGGAAGTAGTGCTCAATATAAATGCATGAAAAAACTGGCATCTTCTATGAAACTAGAATTAGCTCAATTTAGAGAAATAGTTGCTTTTTCACAATTTGGTTCTGATTTAGATGCATCAACTAAAAAATTAATTGAAAAAGGAAAAATTCTTACTGAAATTTTAAAACAAAAACAATATTCACCAGTTAGTATTAGTTATCAAATATGTTTAATTTATGCAGCTACAAAAGATTATTTAACTAATTTGACTATTGATAAAGTTCAAGATTTTGAAAAACAATATTTTTCTTATTTAGATAACAACTATGGAGATGTTTTAAAAAAAATACAAGGAAATTGTGATTTATCAGAAGTAGAAGATCAAATAAAAGAAAGTATTCAAAAATTTTTAGAAATATACAAAAGTGAATAGTGTATGAAAAAAGATATATAAAAATATATTATATTTAAATAGAAGAAAAACAAGAAAATTATTTATAAAAAAAATTAAGAAAACTTAATAATTGAATATTTTAAATAAAATGAAATAAAAAATTATTAATAAAAAAATTAAGAAAACTTAATAATTGAATATTTTAAATAAAATGAAATAAAAAATTATTAATAAAAAAATTAAGAAAACTTAATAATTGAATATTTTAAATAAAATGAAATAAAAAATTATTAATAAAAAAAAAAAAAAAAAAAAAAAAAAAAAAATGTTTATATATATATATATATATTTTTTTTTTATATGTATTTAAAATTTTTTAATACAAATGTAGAATATTCTTACCATATATTTATGTATAAATAACAATAATTGTTCCTTTATATTTCTTTTTTTTATCAAAATTTTATATTTATTTTGTGTCTAAATATATATAAACAAGTATTTTTTTATTATTTATTTATTTAATTTTTTTTTTTTTTTAAATACTAAATTATAATAAAATAATAAGTAAAAAAACATAGATTCTTATAATAAATAAAAAAAAAAAAAAATTTTTAAATAATTTAAATAATATTTATTTTTTTTTTTAGATGACATAATAAATCATAATATATTGATTTTTTAGATATTTGAAAATTTTCCATAACATAATCAAATGATAAAAAATTTAAGGAATTTTTAAAAATTTCTGATTCTATTACATCATCAAAATAAAAAAAAGAAGAAAAGTTGTTATTTATATTATTTTTTTCTTTTACATTTTTTATTTGACAATATTTCTTGTAATTTTCAATCAATAATGGAATATTAAATTTTAAATCATCTTTAAAATATTTTATATTAAATATGAATAGATTATTTACATTAATTTTTTCTTTTATGGTATTTATTCTAGTTTCTCTTGATTCTATATTTTTTTCTAAATTTTTTATTCTTTTTTCTACGAAAATTAATAAATTTTTTAAAACAAATAATTCTAATGGGAAGAAATAATTACATTGAAATTTACTGTATTTTCTTTTAACATAATTAACATTTTTTATTCTAATTTTGCTGTCTTTAATTAATATTAAAATAAGGTTACATAAAATGTATAAATTAATTCTTCCTAAATTCTGATTACATTTTATAATATCATTTAGAAGCAAAAATAAAAAAGGTTTATATACATTTTTACATTGAAAAAATAAAAAAAATAACAACATTTTTGTTTTTGCATTTAAAAATGTTATGTCAAATTTGTATAAATGTTTAGAAATCTCATAATATATAGTGGAATAGAAAAATTTATTTAAACTATAAATAAAAGTAAAATTCAACGTATCTTCAAGTAAAAAAATTTTTTTTTTATTTTTAAATATATTTTCAATATTATCGTAAATGTTACATTTATAATTATAGATAAGGTTCTCTGTAGAATTTATTAAGTTATTATCACTATATTCATTTAAGTAATATTCTTTTATTAGTGCTAAGTATTGTTCATTTAATAATATTTTATTTTCATTAAGTCCATTATATATATAAAAATATCTATTAATAAAATTCATATGATTCTTGTACAACTTTGATTCTAAATGATAAATAAATTTTATATTGAAAGGAATCATTTCATATAAATAAAAAATACAAATTAAAAATTTTTTCATTTTAAATTTAGAAAAATCAAGATAATTATTTAAATACATTATAATAAAATTGTAGCTATTAATAAATATATAATTATAAAATATTGAATTTGAATTATCATTCTTATTAATTATATTAATGTTATTTCTATTTGTTATGTCATTTGTATCATTTATATATTTTATATCATTTTCATTTTCTAAATCATTTATTGTATCTTTTTTAAGTAATAATCTGTTTTTCAAATTTCCAGAATTACATAAATTATTTATTTTAAAATTATTAAGAATGCTTGCATGGAGAGTTTCGTAATTCAATTTTTTGTATTCATTTATATTATTCTTATCATATTCACTATATAAAAAATAATCTTGATTATTTTTATCATTTAATATATTTTTTATAATATTATATTCATATTTTTTTACTAAATATATAATGTATAATAAATTTGATGTCTTACTATTATAATCATTTTTATTATTTTTTTTCTGTTCATCAGAAATTAATGAAATATTAACAAATTTAGATAAAGATGCAAAAATATAAAAATAATTTGAAATATTTATATGGTTAATATTTTTTAAAACGAATGTAAATATTTCATAAAAAGTTTTTGTGAAATAGTTCAAGTTAGTAATTTTGTCTTTTGTGTCATAATTTATTATATTTTCAAAATATGATTCAATAGATCTACAAAGATAAAATAAAAATTTTGAAATGGAGTTTATTTGAGATTTATAATAAATTTTATTATTATACTCTACATTAAAATAAATATTCTTAACTAAATTCAAAATATCACTATTTTCCTTTTTTTCTATATTAAAATTAAAAAAATTATTTTTATTTTGACTATCTAATGAATTATTAAAACATTCATACAAATGTATATCATTCTCAGAAAATTTATTCTTTTTTATAAAAGATGAAATTAAATAATACTTCAAATTTACATCACTACTTTTTTTCATTTTATTTATATCTATTTTAGTTTTTTCTTTTTTTCTATCAATCATAGTATCTCTTAAATATACAGGTAAAAAATTATTTTCTAATTTATCTGTTGTCTCTTTTTTCTCATTTTCATGAGAATTAATAAGATTTTCATGAATAGTTTTCTTAAAGCCTATATGGCTCCATTTATTGGAAAATTGATTAAACAATTTTACAAAATTTCCATCATTTTTATCATATTTTAATCTCATATTTTTTATATTAGACATTATTTGGAATATATTTTTTTTATCAAATATCTCATTTAGATAAGAATTTTTTGAATGAAAAGACATTTTTAGAAATTTTAGTAAAATTTTTACATTTTTATCAGTTATTTTTGTTGGTATTTTATATTTTTCTTTTAATTCTTCATATTTCGAACTTTTTATTTTATCCGATGCATAAGTGAAATAAAATATATTTTTTTTTGTTTGAAGTATATTACTTATGGACTCTTTTTTTGTGGTAAATTTTTCTTCATATATTAAATTTTGGTTTTTTTTATTATTATTATTATTATTAAAAATATTTTGTTTATTATTGTTAATACAAATATTTTTACTTTTATTACATGTGATTTTTTTATTATACAAATTATTATTTTTTCTATTTATGTAGTTTTCTTTTGTATATATTCCTTCATTTAAATTATTTATATTGTTTATGTATTCCGATGAAAATTTATTTAAACAATATGTATTATTTTTTTTTTCCTCCAATAAATTCTCTTTTTTGTTTGTATACTTTTTTCCATTAATGTTACTATGCATTTTATTTATATTATCCTTTACGTTTTTAACATTATATGTACTAATATTATCATAGTTAATGGAATTTATATCTATATTTTGTGTTTTGTTTTCTTTTTTTTCTTCTAAAAAAGAAGGAAAAACCTTTATTTTAACATTTTTATTGCTATTTAAAATTGTTTGTCTATTATTCATCAATAATATGCTATTAATATGCCTTAATATGATATTATCATTGGTTAATTTAATTACATTTTTAATATAATCATTATCTTTTATGTAATTATAATTTTCTAAAAATATTTTTTTATATAACAAAATATATATATCATTAAAAAAAGTTTTCAAATAAATATTATTATTTGCATAAACTGAAATAAAATTTATGTATTTATTTTTTATTTCTTCATTAAAAACAACTTTTTTATCTTTTAATGTATTCAGAATATTTTCTATAAAGATAAAATCTTTATTTTCATTAGAGTGATTCAATAAAATAGAAAACATATAAGAACCTTTAGTTAATAAATCAAATATATGAAATAAATGTATTTTATTTTTATTTCTGTTTATATAATCAATATATTTATTTCTAATATGATAATTAATGTTTAATAAGTTTATTTCTACCATTAATGTTAAACATTCATCTATATCTATTTGGTTATTTTCCAATAGCTTAGTTAAATAATATACAACTTTATTTGAGTATTTAATATGTTGAGGAAAAATATATATAAAAAAAAAAAATTCATTTTTTGATAGAACGTAACAGTTATAACTTAAATATTTGTATATGCAATTTAACAATATTTTTTCTTTTTGTCTATCTATGTATATATTTTTTCTTAAATTATTTATTAATGAAAATATATTCTTTATTTTTATTTTATATATAAATTTCATATATATAAATTCTTCTTGTGATAAATCATATGTATCCTTAAATGTTTTTAATGATTTTTGTAATTTTCTCTCCTTTTTTAAACTTTTTTTTATAACATATATATCTGTATTTTCTATTTTCGCTTTGTTATCAAAGGCTTTTATATCGTCTTTATTTTTCACATATATATATTTATTTTTATCAAAAAAGTATTTGCTTATTTTTTTCTCTTTTCCATTAATATCTATCCTTAGTAGTTTATTATGGTTAGATAAATTTTTTAAGCATTCTTCATATTCTTTTATTTTTAATTTAGTAGAATTTTCATATCTTTTAAAAATTCTAAGTATGTTATTGAAAGGATTATTAAGTAAAATCTTCTTCATTATTAAAAGAAAATATCATTTTTTTTAATTTGCATAAAACCATCATTTTATATGAATAAAACAAATATATTCTATATATATAATTTTGTGTTCCAAGTATTTCTTAAAATATTTTTGTTTTTTAATTTTTATTATTTGTTTTTTTTTTTTTTTTTTTTATATATTCTTTTTATTTTTTTGTTTTTTTTTTTTTTATAATTTAAAAAACACTTTTATAAATCATCCTATTTTCAATCTTTTTTTTTATTAATTTTTGAAGCATTTCTCTATATTTTTTTTTAATAATTTTTTTTTAAAATTATTCTGCTTAATATTTTAATAAAAAAATAAGAACCTCTTTAATAATATTTTTAGAAATATTATCAAAATTTTCTTATTCTTTTAAGATTATAATATTTAGTTTGTCAAAATTCTATATAAATTGAAAAATAAGATTTTTCTTTTTATATATATATTTTTATATATATACATATATTTATTTTTATATATATATACATATATTTATTTTTATATATATATACATATATTTATTTTTATAAATATATATTTTTATAATATAGTATTTAATTAAATATATAAAAAAAAAAAAAACACACTCAAAAATATTTTTATTTAAAAGTTAAATAATCTAAAAAAAGAAGGTTTTAAATAAGAGCACTTGTAAAAAAGTTTTAAAAGTACAATATTTTACAAATATACAGAATAATACCAAGACAAAAAAAAAAAAAAAAATTTTGAAAACAAATTGTAAAAAAGAAAGATAAATTAATATTTTAAAATATATATATATTCATAAAAGATTGATATGTAATAAAAAAATATAATTTTTTAAGATAATATTAAATTTGATGGAAAAGGAATTTTTTAAATTAAAATTTATATATATATATTTTTAATTTTATATTAACTTTTTAATTTTATTTATTTTATCTAATATTATATTTTTATTTACTTCGTATATATATCCTCCTAATATAATATTGTCAAAAAAATAATATAGAAAATGAAAATTAAATAATAAATCTAACTCACAAACATTTGTAAAAAAGTTGTCTAATAATTGTGCCATAAAATGAATAAATTCTAATATATATAATTCGTTTTCATTTTCAATACATACAACAAAATATAAACCTAAAATAAAAAAAAAAAGAAATAAAAATAATTTAAAAAAATTATAAACCAACTACTAAATCAACATATATGTAAAACCCTTTTTGAGTTTCATTTTGATTTATTTTTGTTTAATTGTTTTATCTCATTATAAATTATTCACACCTGCATATAGTCTATAAACAATTTTAAAATTCTCATAGATAAATATATTTGCATAAGATCTGCTTCTATTTATTAAAATTTTATTAATATCCCTTTCTATTTTCTTTTGTTTGGTTTCATTGCAATTAATGTACCTTTGTATATGTAAAAAAAAAAAAAATAATAAAAAGTTTTGTATTTATTTTAGAAAGCTTTCTTTTTTTATTTATTTCTAACCATTTAGAAAATCTGGTTTTTCCTTGTCTATTTTGCAAAAGAATAAAATTCAACATTTTAAAAAAACATACATATATAAAGCTATAAAAGTGATTTTATGCTAATATTTAATAAAAAAAAAAAAATATAATAATAATTATATTTTCATAGTTTTAGTTATAAACGGTAATTATTTATTAAAATTTTACAAAAAGTTTCGTATTTTTTTGGTTTTTACAAATATATGTGTGCATTTCAAAAAAAGCATATTTATCAAAAAATTGATATCATAAACTTTTATAAAGAATATATTAAGCGAAGTTGTAATTGTTTAAAATGTGTAAACAAAAAAAAAAAAAAAAAGTTATATGGAATGATTTTAAAATATACAATTTACTATTATGTGATAAAATTAATATCTATAAAAAATGTTGAAAATTAAGTATCATATATGATTTTAAATATATTAAATATAAAAAATTATTGAAAAAACTTTTTTATATTCCTTATTATTTTCTCTTTTTTGAAATTCTAAAAATAATTTTACATTTTCATTTAATATATATATATATATATATTAAACCATATAAAAATATTTATAAAAATGTTCTAAAATATTTTATTAATAAAAATTCATTTAATTTTTCCGATTCAAAAAAGATATAAAAAATCAATGAAGTTTTATTAGTATATGTGCAGGAAAAGAAATTTTAAAATATATAAAGAAAGGATAAAATATAGCTTTGTTTTATTTTATTTTATTTTCTTATATATTTATTTTTCTATATTTTATTTATCTTTTGTTTTATTTAATTCAATTTTTATTTTATTTTATTTTATTTTAATTTTTTTTTTTTTTTTTTTTTTTTTACAAGTATCAAGGATTTACAAATATTAAATGATATAAATAATTTTATATAAAAAAAAGAAAAAATAAATAAAATAGAATGAAGCAAAATTAATATTCAAAAAAATGAAAATTGTTATTTGATATAAATAAGAAAAAAAAAAAAAAAAGAGAAGAGAGCAAAAAATGTATAATTTAAAATGATTTTATGGAAAATAAAAAAAAATTATTTTTCTTTTAAAGGAATTCGTTATTTATCCTCCAAGAAAGTTTCTAATGTATTTTTTATTTCTCATTTTGTGCTATCATTTATTCACAATTGTTAATATGTAAATTTAACATTTTTATTTTTCATATATTTATTTTTTTATAGTATTATGTCCATGAACGACCAAGTGTTAAAGAGATGGATGATGAATATAAAAAATTTTTAGAAATTAAAAAAAAAGAGAATATATTATCAGAATTTAAAATAACGAATATTGATATAAATACATTTAAAAAATATAAACATAAAAACAACCCTACATTTTCAACAGAATTTAAAATTTTTATTACAGGATTTTTAATTTTTAGTTGGTGTATATTTGCTATTTATTTAACTATTAGAATAATGACTCCTGATGATTTTGAATGGGTAGAAAATGAGAGAAAAAGATTAGAAGATGCAAAAAAAAAAATTATGATTATAAAAGAAAAAGAATTGAAAAGTGTTCATAATCAGAATTAAAAGAAAAAAAATAATGAAAATAAAATAAAACTTAAAAAAAAATAATTACCCTTTAAAATTTATTATAGAAAAAAATAATAAACATATATTATTCATTCCTTTATAGACTTTTTTTTTTACATTTTAAAATTTTTTTTTTTATTTTTGTTATAGTATCAAAATTATTTGTACTTTTTTTTTTTTTTTTTTATTTATTATAATAATACATTTAATTTGTTTTGTTCAGAAAATATAATTATAATTTTATGTATTATATTAACATNAATAAATTATCATACATTTACATTTTCTTACAAATAAATATGTAGATTATCTTTTAACAATATAATGATTTAATATATATACATATCTGTATTTTTTTTTTTTTTTTTTTTTTTTTTTTTTATTTATTATAATAATACATTTAATTTGTTTTGTTCAGAAAATATAATTATAATTTTATGTATTATATTAACATGATTAAATAAATAAATAAATGAATTAAATATAAAATATTTTGTATACCAAATATATTAATTAAATTTCGTAATTTCTATAAAAAAAAAAAAGAGAGGTTTTAAATTATGTGTAATAAATCATTTTAATTTATATATTTCTTTTGTGTTTATTAGCAATCAGAAAGTTGTAGAATTAATCAAAAAAAAAAAAAAAAAAAAAAAAAAAAAATACAGATATGTATATATATTAAATCATTATATTGTTAAAAGATAATCTACATATTTATTTGTAAGAAAATGTAAATGTATGATAATTTATTATGGAATATATTTTTTTTTAAAATATATATGTTGCTATGTTTTATATTTCATGTATGCATGTATGTTACAACTATTTTTTATCAAAATGAAGGCATTTGCATTTTAGTAATATAATTTTGATAAGAATATAAAAAGAAAATGTTGATTTTATTTATATCAGATACATTTTAATATTACATAAATATCTCCATTTTAATATTTTCCTGTTATATTTTTTTTATATCAGTAAAAATCATTCTGTCTGATCCTATTTTATTTTGTTTTTTTTATCAATTCTTATATATAATACAAAAGTAAACAAACATAAAATATGGCTTAAGTTAAACAACAAAAAGAAAACAAATTTTATAATATAAAATTAACCAATTTTTATTGAAGGATGTAAATTTGAAAGATGTAAATTTGAAGGATGTAAATTTGAAAGATGTAAATTTGAAAGATGTAAATTTGAAAGATGTAAATTTGAAAGATGTAAATTTGAAAGATGTAAATTGGAGTACTTATTTTTTTTTTCTTTTTGTTATGAGTTTATTTAAAAAGAGATAAAATTTTCTTTTAATAAATTTTATAGAGGGAATATATTATATTAATATTATTATAAAAAATATAATTATCTTATTAGATATTTAATTGAATTTTAGTAATAAATCATTTTCATAATAACATAAAATTATTATATTTATTTTTTAATTTATTAATGGATTATGCCTATTTCATTTATCAAATTTTATATTTAGGATCATTAAGTTTTTATTTTAAATGTATTAATTACTACTTAATTTTTATATGTTCCCAGATTAACTATCCATATGCTCAATGATAATTACTATTATTTTTTTACTATAAAAGTAAATTTAATATTTTAGCTAATATTTTTTAACTAATTAATGATTTAGATGTTATCCTTGATAATAAAGTAAAAAAAAAGGATTTTTGTTATTTTAAAATTTTTAATATACATTTATTACATTATATATATATATATATATATAGAAGTAAATATGTTTATTTTTTATAAAGAATTCACATATTTTTCATTGAATATACACATCATATTTTTCTTTTTTTTATTTTGAAGTTTTGCAAATATAAATAAACAAAAAATTATTTTTACATTTTAATTAATGAAAAATAATTTATATTTATTAAAATGTAAGGTTTTTCTTGAATAAATACTGTGATTTTATCTCCTTACAATGAAAACAAATAAAAATTATTATCAAATTCTTTTTTAAATATCTCCATAATTTCATATAAATAAAAGATCAAAAATAAAAATGAAAATAAATAAAATAGAACAAAAAGAACAATTATGGTTAGAAAAAAAGAAAAGAAAGTGTAAAACAGCGAAAATAGAGTTTTTTTTATTTCATTTTATTTTGTTTTATTTTTTTTTTTTTTTTAAACATGCATTTTGTTTCAGTTGTACACACATATGAATGCATGTTTGCGAAATTTTTTTTTTTTTTTTTTTCCATTAAAATAGCATACACAAATTCTAATATTAAAAAGGTAAAAAATCATGAATAAAAAATAAGATAAATTAAAAAAGGAAATTTATATAAATATATTTATATAAATCTATATACTTATATACTTTTTTATTATGTTTATGTATTTTTTAATTTATTGAGCCAAAAAAAAAAAAAAAGAATGCATTTGTAAGTTGTGTGTTTCCAAAAAATTGGTACCATTTTTTTTTTTTTTTTTTTTTTTTTTT